ACTTATTGCATATATATATATCTACATTTATATTATTGTTATCAAGTCTTTTACGTATATGTATTCATACTTTTCAAAGTAGACATTTACCTACTATAAAATTTGACTATTTAGTTTTTCCTATTAGAAAAAAAAATCATGAGTTCTGACTTCCTTATTTTATTATGTAATGAATTACTCTTTTAACGATTAGTACTTCTATTACTACTGTTAGAGATATTTTTTTCTCATAAAAATGACATCAAGAAAATAACCTCTTTCATTCCTTATTAAAAGAAAAAAGTTTCAGACATAAGTTTGTTTGCTTTTCAGCGTTTGTTGCAATAATAATAATGATAATAATAATAACTATTAGACAGACGAGCAGCTACAACATAGAACTTCGTACGTACGTACATCAGTTCAGGTTGCCATACCGCATTAACACTGAGATGCAACTATGAGTTCAAATCACATTGTTGTAGTGACAATAGAAGTATTAGCAGTAATGGAAAAGATAAGAGTTCAGAGATATGATTCGAGAAGTATAATTCAGTGAGATAAATTTAGAGAGAGAAAGAGATACAGATGATGAGGAATTTAGAAGGTTAGAATTTGAGAGAACACAAAGAGTGGATGCACTTGCGCCATTGCAAACGATTTGGAGCCAATAATAACAATTAAAAAAATATTGTTTAAAGATCCTGTTGATAGCAAAATCCAAAATATCTTTCTGGCTAGCTAATCTGTTCTTCTACACTATCATAATAATACACTATAAATGAAACGTTTATCGCATTCATTGAATTGTGTTTTTTGTTTCTTATTGAGATAAAAATTTGAACTTATCACACTAGATTACTTAAATTAGACAATAAAACTAATTTTATTGGATTCCTTTTCGGTTAGCTTACAATGAAAAAAAACAATCATTATCGGTTCATAACAATATACAAATAAGAAACGATAACATGAATTATATCCGAATTGTCTGTGTGGATAAGTGTTATGGATTCACTTCACATCCAGTCAACAAATGATCACTTGATTATAGAGAGCTCACTAATTAAGAGTTCGGTTTTTGTCAAACTGAATTTTTACTGTAACCAATCATAACACGAATGACAGTTAACAAAATTGAGATATTCTAAGGCTTATGGGTCCAGTCGGGAGTATTTAAAAGTATAACATATAATCCAGACAATTGCATTCCAACTACGAATTTGTATATATATATATTATTGTGTAGTGTAAATTTCTCTCATATTAAGCATCATTTCGACTGGTTCCCATAAGCATTTGTACAGAGGAATTTTATCAAGAATATTTGAGTTTCTGATATGCTCGAAACTAATACAAGTTCACCTTACTCGGTAAACGAAACGAAGAGCAATGACTCATTGATACGATAGACTATTCTAATCCATTGTCCTAGGACCTGCTAACTATACCATGAAGTCTTGATAAGGCGTAGGGAATGTATTGTACAAGCATCCAGAAAACACGAGGTTGCTAAGCTCACAAATCAAGCTTATTTATACAATGATAGGAACGCCGTTGGGAGAGCCACAAGATGGAGTGCTAGAAAAAATGCATCAGCCAATGACAGTCAAGGATTTCCGAGTGGGAAATGTAAATTATAGGCCAACTAAGCGTCTCTTGGCGCGAAAACTTAAAAATTCAAAATTTCAGAAATAACTTACAAAAAAATTAGGACCTTTTCCAATTGAGTTCTAGGGTTCTAACGTTTCCAACATTATAATCATTAATTTATTAATCTATCATAGTACATTTATTTGACTTTTGAGCTAGTCACATTAATAAAAACTCTATTAGTTCAATACAGTTTGAAATAATCAAGTTCTTCAGTTTTTTTTTCATGATCTCATTGGAACAATCGATATTCAAATTTTTTGACAGATGATTATCAGTAGAATTTCCATTGTAAATGAAGTTCAACTTTAAAAAAATATTACAAAGTAGCCAAACAAAAAGATAAGTAGGCAGATGATAATAATCTTTTTTAAAAAAAAACTTGATTTCATAGTGAAGTTGCGAAAAAGTTTGAAATATATTTTTTTTATCAACATTTATTTTACATATTCTGTTTCTGTCATAATTGGTTTTTTTTTCTCATTACAACATTTTCAAGAGAAAAGAGATTTTAGTAGGAGTGTTGATCTGATCGATCGTTAAAGGATTTTTCAAATATGTTATATTGTATCTTCGTGTAACTAGTATTTCATTTGTCTTTATTCAATATTGCCCACTATTTTGAATCATTTTCCTTTTTTATGCAGTTAAAACCATCTGGTGTACTTTTAGAGAAAAAAAAAGTATTCTGATTTGTAGTACTTCTTATTATGTTGTAATATTAGAATTTTCATTATTTGACTAAATCATTATTCATTTTCTGTGTGTAATTCATCATCTCTAGGTATGTTGTAATTAGCTTGCTCTTTTCAAGGTCATGTCTTGATTAATAAGATTTGTTTTGTGTATGGAGAAAATAAGTACAAAAACTAAGTAGAAACTATCAACACATAATTATGATGATATTATTCATGCAGTAATATTTTAATGTCATTTTTTTAATTTGGAAATAAATCCACAGAAAACAAAATGTTATTATTCTATTGTCCGATTATCTATCATCCTTATATGTTGCACGAAGTGTCATGTTACTTTGATTAGTAGCTACATTGCAACTTGTTGGTCGTTGACATTCTACCAGCACTAAATTGATCAGGAACGTAAATGACATTGGCTAGTGGTGTTCAGTCAGTTAGATGTATTTCAGTCTTACACTATGTCAGACGCTTAGCTTATTGTTAGCAGTTCGGACTGCGTAGTTGGATGACTCAGATTCGGATCCTATAGGTTCCTTGAAGATTGCAGATCGGTCTTGTTGATAAGTACCAACCAGAGTTTCCTGTCAAATGCCTCCAACCGTTTATTGTTTCATCCTAGTTCATTCTAAGTCGTTTTGTTTAGATTTCTGACCACTATGCAACTTGAACGAATGAGTTGGATCAGCATTAGATGAACTAGACTAACATGACATTAGTGTTATTACACACTGATCTGTCTATTTGAAAGACAGTATTCTGTTGGATATGAGGAAGTACAAATCGGTATATCTCAAATAAACATTCTTATACTGTATCTGATTTTCACGATGTAGGAATAGGTTGGAGGAAAGCTAGGGGCGGCCTAGCCAAAACATGGCACAAATACATCAAGTTACCGACAACAGGACTGAACCATGTTGGTAGGTATCTGCTACCTGGTTGGGGCCCGCGAAATGATAGAAATCGATGGTTAGAGACCCTGAATGACATAGCTCAAAACCGTTTGCAATGGCGCAGGTGCATTCATTCTATGTGTTCTCTGAAATCCTAACCTTCTGAATCCCTCATCACTTTATCTTTTTCTTTTTAAGTTTATTTCACTAGATTCTACTTTTTGAATAATCTCTCTCATTACTGTGAGTACTTCTACTACCTCTACTACAATGGGATTTGAATTGACAATTGCATCTCTGTGCTAATGTGGTATGACAGCTTGAACTGATGTACGTACATACGAAGTTCTATGACTGTTGATACTGTAGCTGAAGCTGAATTATGAAAATAAATAATATTCGCTTAGAAGAAACAAATGTTACTATTATTACTGATCGAATAATATGAATGTATATTACTGAGTAATCAGGCTTTAACACTAATCAATTTCTTATTATTTCGTCTATGAGCACTGTGCAATATGACTAAGTTGCTTCGGTTAGGTTATCCTAGTTTGCATTGTGAAATCTGGAAATAATAAGAGACTAGTGTTTTCTTTTCAAAAATATATATATATATATATATATATATATATATATATATATATATATATATAACCATTTTGGTCGTTTGTATGGAAAAAAAGTAGACGAGGACTTAACTGAATCGTGTACTATTATAATACGGTGTAGTAGATTGATAATTTGTGAATTTATTCACTAGTGAAATAAAAAAACAGTATATAAATTTGATTTCCCCCAATTAAATTTATAGACTTTCACTATTCTGAATAGTTATACAATTGTAAGCTATAATACCACTACTAGTTACTTACTTATGCTATCATTATTCATACTATTTTGACAACACTTCATTTTGTCATTGAATAAAGCATAAATATTTATTACTATATAAGGTTTGTAGAAATTGTTGGTGGTCTAACATTGATCGTTATTCTTCGTATTTTTCTTATGAATTCAAACAAATATTATTGTCTGCACCGGTGATTACCTAGTTCATATGTACTTTTTTCTTTTATGCAAGAATAACATCATAATTAGGTCAAGTAAACAACAATGCATTATTCGATGTGTATTGATAAATGTCATTCTTTTTTTTTATTTTTCAGTGTGTTTGTTTAACCTGCAAACTTTGGTGTTTTCACTGTGGAAAGTGCTAAAGACACTAACTATATTTTTTGTATCTGAATATGGAATTTATAGATCAAAATTATCAGTAGATATATATTTATATTGTCTAGGTCAGTTAGTATCATTCATTGAGGCTAAGGTTAAAGTATTATAGTCAGATATTGATATTTAACACCATCATTTATAAATAGTTTATTGAGATTAGCTTTTTGTCAAAGCTTTTCTAATATATCATAGTCGTTTTGAATTATATGAACTGTTATCTATCTGTTGTATTTAGTGAAGAATAATAGAACTCGTATCCTATATCAAGTGATATGATTCTTTTGTTCATAACTTGGAAAAGAAGTTAGTTGTCTAGTTCTTGGTGCAATGAATTATTTGTATTCCAGTTAATGAAATATTCTTATTTGTTATATGTGCCAGTTCTAAGCCATCTATCTATCTATCTATCTATCTATCTATCTATCTATCTATCTATCTATCTATCTATCTATCTATCTATCTATCTATCTATCTATCTATCTATCTATCTATCTATCTATCTATCTATCTATCTATCTATCTTTTTCTCTATTTTTATCAGACACTTCTTGACAATGAAGATGTGAATTTGGATGAACTAGAAACCAATAGTAGTTCGCTTAAAAAAATCAAACGAAAAGTTGTTGGTTCTGATTGGATTGATTTAGATGGTGATACAACAGCAACAAGTCCAGTAAGTAGAAGTCAATCCGAGCTTGGTACTGGTAATACAGATGCACAAAGATTGGCGCTGATGATTCAAAATCAATTAGATGCAATCAATAAAGAAATCAAAATGATACAAGTAAGCTCTTAATTCAATTTAAAAAAAAAAGTTAACATATTTGATCTTCTATATACGAGTTTGTGTATCTATATATCTTCTGAGTCATAGATGTTACATCTGGAGCTAGTAGTGTGGTGTACGCTACTTATGTTCACATAAGTAGTATATGATATCAAACGGAAATCAAACGTCTGACAGCAAAAGATCGAGAAGGAAAGAGTGAGAACAGAAGGCGATTTGTGCGTAACGTAAAGTGAACTGAAGTCTGAACAGTCTAAATGAAAGAACACTGAAATATGAAACAAATAAGGATTTGTTTGCAAATGATGATTCACGGGAAGGTTTTGTACATATGCTTAACAACTCTGTAATTTTGCTTAAATATATATATGTTGATGGCCCCATCTGAGTTCTTGAGCACAACAGTAGTACTAATCGGCTGATGAAACTGAAGTAGAATGGAGATAGGTTCGTATCTGTACCTCAGTGATTAATAAAATTCGTGATTTTTTGCCATTAGTCTACCAATTTATTTGATAATCTTACTTCACTTATATACTTCATTGTCTCATATACTGTTACCATTAATATTTTTTAAATCTTAGCAGCATATAATATATGGTAATAAAATACCGAAATTCATGAATGGGGATGTCTTTTGTGGAAGGCATGAAATCTTTTATTAAAACCTCTTTTTCAAATGAGTTTTTGTTTATCAAGTTCACAAGATTACTAGATTTTATTTCATACGTCTGAATATTGATGTTATTTTTATTTAGATGTGATGTGATCACTTTTCTGTTGGCATTATTTCTGATTCGAAAAAAAGCAAACATTATTTTCTGTAATGAAATAGGTTTTAAGCAATTTGACTGGGGGATGATAGCTTTTAGGATTATTAATTTTTAATTAAAGTTATGAAGATTAGTGTTTTTACACATTCAAATCATTCATTAATCAGTCATTGTTAGACCTGCATTAGAAACCTGTAAGCACTGGACGGCCGTTTCGTCCTGGTATGGGACTCATCAACAGTACGCATCCACGACTCCTGCACCTCACAGGATTCGAACCAAAGACCTTCGGTCTTGTTCACTAACGCCTAACCTCTGGACCACTTGGCTGGCATCCAATAGTGTTAATGTCTAACTTTGATACTATAAAAGCTTTAAGCAAGTATCAATAACGATCTATAGGAATAACAGTGCTGTTTCAAAAACTAAAATTACTTTTAGCCACTGATTTTAACACCTTTTGGTGTATATTCAAGGAAATTAATACATTTTCATGATTTCTTCATTTAAGTGATAAATCTTACAAGTCAGCACGAATTTCTATCTCGGCTAGAATTTCTCGTAATATCCAGGTTATCCCATGACCTGATGTCAACTCATATTATATTATGTACGTAAAAGTTACTGTCATACATTTGAATATTATTAGAAGCTTTCTAAGCGTCAGATACTATTATTACCTGTTAATGAAGTCTGCTCAACAAAAATCAGGAATGCTTATCGATTTAAATTGATCAGTATTCTGTACTAGTTTTAACTATTCTGTTACTTTTATCTGCCAGTTAATCATCATTTAACTAGATAGTATTTACTATTTCCTTGAATATATAGCTTTATCTGATAGTGTCATTTCTTGGCTGACATATAAGTTGAATTGTTAAATTTATGAGGTTTTACGTCATTTACTTATGTCTTACTCTATTCAGGAAGAGAAACAAACTGCAGAACAATTAGCTGAAGAGCTAGAATTACGTGTTAGTGGTGGTAGTACAAGTCGTAATGGTACTTCACAAGGCCAATTAATCGATGATTATTATAGTCAACGTAGCAGTGATACAAATGAAGCATATGGCTATACTAATCAAGATGGACGTTTTAATGCAAATAATGTTATGCCAAGTTTATTGCCTAATTTCGGTCCAACTGGTTGGTCACCTCCACCATCACCGCTAAGTTCTAGGTCTACACCATTTGGTGGTATTTCTAATGATTCATTCAGTGGTAGTTTTAATAATCCCAATCGAAATACATCATCATCAATTAGTAAAGAACCTGAACGATCCATACCTCAATATGCTGCTCCTACTGCTTTAACAATAGATCCACGTCGTAACCTTCAACATCAACCTATTCAATATGCACAACCGACTAGTACTAGTGGATTTATGTCGCGTAGTAGTCAATTTGAACAACAACGATCAATATCAGCTGCTGGGCGTCCATTACATCAGGTAATTGATTAAGTTTAATTATGTGAAAACACTTCTTTTTTAACTCTTGATTTTAACATCATTTCTTATAAAACCATAGCATACTTTTCATAAATGATATGTGTATGAGTATATTTCATTAGCTGAATAAATTGCGTTCAGGTATATCGGCAGTGAAACAATTATCACCAATTGTAAGTAGAGAAAGATGGTGGTTAAAAGTGGAATATAGGACGCGTGCTTCGTCCCATTCGGGACATGTCAGCTAGATGTACTTGCAATATCGAAGGAATCTGCATAAGATCTCAAAGGACACTGATCAGTTAGAATCCTTAAACATCAATGGAAAGATCCAAACACCTGATTTATATGAATAAAAAATCACACAAGCTGATGACTAACTGGACTTAGTAAACAAGTGAATAACATGATCGCATTTGAAGCGAACGGTACTTTGTTTAAGTCCTGGAGGAAATATCAACTATGAGATGCAGCTTACGAGTTCCAAATAGGAGTAAACGCGCCTTCAGTTTTCTACTGCTAGCCACCACCATCCACCTCTGCTTACAATGCTCGTGACCAAATGGTGTATCATCGAGGCAGTCCTCATAGGATGCAAGTATGCCAAAATAGACTGATCAATAACAGTCCTTAAACATCATTCAGAATATCCAATATATATATGTATGGTTATCACTACGCTATAAATGAAGTTATACTATTCTTTTGTTTATCTACTGTGTATGTACAGTCATATTCTAACATATCTCAATACAAATTCTTTTTTGTTGCACAAGTAGTATACTTTTGACAAACAGTCACAATAATATCTCATGCAATTTCGATAAGTTTCGGCTAAATGATAAGAAAAAAAAACGATTAATTCCTCCAATCAAAAATATTTGTTTAACTTTTGTGTCCTTATTTCGTTTCGTTTAGATGTCTAGATTAACTATAACTTCATAATTCATGTTCTCTGATAAAACATTAGGTTTAGTTTCTATATGAATTTAGTCACTGATTTTTGTATTTCTTGAGTTTGATTAATTTTGGAAATGTCATTGTTGTTTAATTATTGATAATGCAAGGAAAAGCTAAAGATTATCAGAATAAATAAGTTGGTGCATTAACTGAAATAATTTTTTAAAAAAGACTGAACACATAAATTAACGTGTCAACATGTTTACATATCGTTTTAGAATTTTTCTGTAAATTGTTCATAGTTTGCATGACGAACTGAATTAAGTTAAACCGCCATTGAAAACCATGGAGTCCTAGACTCGTATTTCGTCTTGGCAAAACGTTCATCAGCACTGGAATCCTTTGATCTTGGTATTCCAGTGATAAGCTGAAACTAGTGGAGTTCAATTATTTCGAATGTGAGGTAGTTACCCAACCTAGAGGACGGGAAATGGTTGCTCAATATTGTTTATTGATCGAACTCAGACGTATACATAATTTTATGCTGTAGGCGTAAAGCGCTCACGCGAAAGACTAATGGTCTGTATTTGGTTTCCTCTAGTGCGGTTGTAGATGAGTAATGCTTGAAGTTCTGATATTAGATGTTAGCAGGTATCTAATACTTTCTGATCTTCAGTGTTGGTCCAACAAATATCACTTCTTTCTGTAAACTACAAGCATATGAACATGGAAGATGCAAGTCAGTCAGAGAAGTCGAAAGACAAAAGATACATGCAACAACAATATACATTACATGACTTTAATTAATATCATAGTGCGGACTGAATACAGAAGGCGGGAGTGGCGTTAGATGTTGATATAATCAAGTTTCAACAAACCTAAGTGGTCGCTTTATACATAACATACATACATAACACAAGCTGAATTAAGATAAGCTTAATGGCTAATATCAATTGTGTTTGGCAACAGGAGAGGGTGGATCTTTGTTATCTTCCGCTATGTCGTCGTTTAGCTTTATTCGTAAACGTAGCCAATAATGATAACTTTATAATACTTAGATATTTCAAAGTTATATTGTACTTTTCTAATTATATCCTCTGTATTTCGTTACTAGAAGGTTATTTTTAAAGCGTTTATTTGCTGTTTTTCTAGTTTTGTAAGCGAATTTGGAAATGTCAATTGATAATATTTTTTCCCTTCCTTACTGGTATTTATGTATGAATAGAGTAATATTGAAAGGCATCGCCTAATTTTGTCTATTGATATTCAAACAAAGTATGCGAATATTTGATTAATCAAGGATATTTCATATGATAGCATAAAGATACTTACATGGTTAGCTTTATGTCATGATATACCCAAAGTCATTTCTGGGCTACGGTAGTTATATCTATGCTTCATGAATGATAAGCTATCATAGTTCAGAAGTATACTTTATTATGATAATTGACATATATCTAACTCGGGGAGCGTTTTGAGTCTGAGATCAGGAGGTATCTTCAAGTGTTCCATGAATCACTTTTCCTGATTGGTTGTTTACAATATGATTACTTCTAGTAAGCAGGTTTATCCAGTAAAATATATACTCATTGGAATTATGAACCAATTTAAGTTGGGCAACTTGGGAGAACCTAGAAGTACTGTAAAACCGTTTTGTCTTAGTGTAGGACTCCTCAGCAGTGCGTATCCACCACTGGGAGGTGGTTACTCATTGCATCCTTGATCAGTGGTCTATGGAGCTTTAGCGTTCACGCGTAAGACTAAGGATTTAGGTCTGGTTCCAAGTTGTGGAGTCGTGGCTTGGCACCGCTGAGTCTTTTATTAGGACGAAACGACTGTTAAGCGTTCCCAGGTTTTCAATAACCTCTATCTGTGAAATCTCTAGAGTTTCGATTTTTCCTCTGTAAACAGAATTAGTTGTTTAGTTCAGTGTGATATTCACATATATAGAATACAATATATTATTTTCCATGTGGTTGAATTCACGTCTCTTTATTCATCTGAAGTCGTCTAGAATTGTCACTTGCTCACATATATGTTTAGTGTAGCGCATTCATACACAGATTTTAAAAAAAAAACGTGGTATAAATTAGACAATATGGCTTGAATTGGATTCAAAGTACACTTTTATAAATATGACGTCCACATGAAAAATAACTTTTAATGCTAGTCACGATTGACAGAACGAACAATATAGAATAACAACTTGCGTTTTCGCGCTGTATTTAAACCAAAATCTGATCATATCATATCATAATTCAACCACCCTCTTTTGATCAGTAATATAATGTTTAATAAAAGAGACTTATTCTTTTACTAGCGACTAATTCTAATATGATTGTTATGAATAATAATCAGTTTTTTAAAATCATATTATCACATGAAATTTCGCATCGCTTCACAGCATTGTTTAAAACTTGATGAAAGATTGTTTACAATGTTGTATAAATTTTTATACTGCAGTAGAATTTTAACATTTATCGAAAATAAAATCAAATAAAGAAAACAGATGTTGATGTTGCTCTGATATACACAAGAACTAATATTATCGAACATAGGAAAAAAAACACACACACACACACTCCAACACATAAATCCACAACAACAGCAAACTGTACTTTGATAAGTTGGTAAAGTTTTTATTCTTACATATGGTGATGATGATGACGGCGATCATACAGTTCGTTCTTACAAGTTAATTTCATGAATGATTATTCATTTATATTCTGAAATCACACGCCCATGAGGACAAAATTTTCATTGAGGTAGAATAAATGTTGAAGTGCAAGCTATGCGGTTTATGCTCTGCCCGAGGTTCGTCAGCAGTGGTGCAATAGCACAGATACCTACCTACATTCATTATATTCCTTAAGATATTTAGGCTATTTAATTGTCTTAACAAAAAAGTCCTATTCCATTCATCGATATTTTCTTCTAGAATCATAACGGTTGTGATTTTTTTTATTATCCATTACTAAAAAATACTGTTACTCTTAGTAGTACTACTCTAAGATCGTATGGCATAGTGTACTGATACAGCTATATATCCGCTTGTACGTGGAATGTGACTAGAGCTTTCGAAATCATAGATTTTGGGATATATATATATATATATATATATATATATATATATAGTATTCTTAGAAATCTCAAGAAATGTATATATTTCTGTATATAATATAATCGATTTAACAAGAGGATATAATTGATCTCGTACATATGAAAAGTCAATAGGAGATGATAACCTTGTGATAGATTGTAATCAATAGTAATAATGAACATGCTGACTAAAGGATGTTTACACAGTTTATTGCGTAACACATACAGTTCACTGACATTTGATAATTTTATTCAGTAGTAGTAAGAAGAAAAGAAATAGTAGTAGTTTGTTTCTTGTTCCATGGGGGATTGCAGTGTACAAATAACATCACATTTTACAATTACGTCATAAACAGGAGAGAAAAAAAAGGGAAAATTTACACTTAATTTACATTCTTTGCAAAAAATCGATGAACAAAAAAAAACACAGTCGAGAATTACCATCAACAATTTCAAAAAGATACATTTATCTTTATGTAGATAGATATGCAATAATAGGATTGTGAAGTGTAGCGAATTTATCAACAGATATATCTAATGATGAAATAAAAAGTACATGAATTATTATTTTTTTTCTAGCTTTTACAGAGATACTGATTATTTTGTTGCACTTCAATCTGTCTACCCACATTTAACTAGCATCATTTGAAATGCAGGTATAATTAAACACACTCCGATTATCTTGCGGTAGAGTAGACCACACCCCATTCTCAAGAAATATTTAAGATAGAACTAAACTATTTAGCTTAATATTTTAATGATTAAACCAACAGTTATGCATTAGCATAAATAATGGTATCCATTTTTTTTATGGTTATTTTAATGATGATGATGCTGACCTTCTTGTTTATGTCAAGATCCATACTCAAAAATTGATAAAAATGAACTGACTACCTATTAACACACATCTCCCTTAACTACTCTTTGAAACGCTTAACAATTTGCGTTGATTTTTGTTTTGCATGATTTTGCAATGAATTTGACTAGTTCTGATATTATCA